ATTTTTTAATTTATATTTAAACAAAAAAGGTGAAAAGCTTACCGTCGGCAACAGAGACGGAGAGCGGCGGCGGAGATGGAAGTGGTGGCTGCAGCTCAGTGTAGGTGTCGACGGTGGCAGGATCAACGAGGCAACGACATGATCAACAAAGGTGACAGAGGCAATATGTGGAGGAGGGTAGGAGATGAAGTGTGGGAGAAATAAGGAGAAAACATGGGATATTGACTCAAATGACCTTCAAAAACTTTTGAAATGCTCAAATAACCCTCTTTCTTTTATTGTGCCATAATGACCCACTTGAATATTAAATTAATTTTTATAGGCAGCGAAATTACTATAGTACCATTCGTTCAAAAAATTGGACCGTTCTAACTTTCCCAATTTCTCTCCGTTTTCAGTCGTCGTTCCTCTTCTCCTTCTCCGTTCATCTTCTCCTTTTCCGTTTGCGTGAGTCGTCTTCTCCTTCTCCGTTCGCGTGAGTCGTCTTCTCCTGCTCCGTCTCCGTTCGAAATCGCTCGAGGTAAGTTCAATTTTTCCACTGCTCCGTGGGGTTAGGGCTACGTTTTTTCATGTTGAATGGGTTCTTTTCCGTTGATTCCTGAACACCAGCATTGTATCTTGTTGACCATGTACATGAATGAGTGATTTCGCTGTCCGATTTTACTTTATTTTGTTCGTTCCATTATTGGAAGGTTGTTCTGCTGTGATTTCCTTCATTGTTGTTCTGCCGAAATTGATTTTTGACCTGAAATTGAGTTTTGAGGTATGTGGGAGGGAACCGTTCTCAGTGTGTTGGGAGGTTGAAGAAGGAGGAGAGCTCTGCCATTATTCTCGGGTCGATATCGGGCGAGGTTGAGCACGAGGTATTCGTCAGATGCTTGAGGCTGAACTTCGAGGTTCCTCGAGCTTACCTCGAGGTTCAGACTAAGCTGAATACATCGGGCATAACCTCGCCCGAGGTCAACCCGAGAAAAATGACAGAAGCTTACAAACGTTGCATATTTTTGTGTAGTATATATTATGTGAAATTTCTCGGGCCCGATCTTACCCGAGGTTGTGCCCGAGGAAAATTACAGAATGTAAACTTTGTTAACAGTAATATATATTTTGCCCGAATTATTTAGTGAGTTATTAAACARTGTTCATTTATGACCATATATGGTTTAGTTCAGTGTAAACTTGATGGTTTGAATCTGAGTGTAAATGTTTGTGTGTATTTACTTATAGGAAATGGATTTGGTACCGAAGGTCCCTCTCGCGTTGTATGTCTCGTCCTAGCTCACCTGTCTATCGCACCTAGCGAAGACATCCGAGGCTATTAAGAAGAAACTTACCCCCGRTCAGCTTCGTTTATTTAGGAAGACTGCAGTTGGGCATTTGCTTGATGTGGATCTTGTCTTTAACGGGCCACTAATTCATTGTCTGCTGCTTAGGGAGGTAAATGAGAGTCGTAAGGACACCATGAGTTTTAACTTGTTTGGTAGTAAGGTGTCCTTTGGACAGAGAGAATTTGATTTAATTAGCGGCCTAAAATATTCAACAGCCACCGTTATGAAGGACACCTATCCTCGTAGGCTTAGGGCCCTATACTTTGATGATAATGTAGACCTAACGTTGGCTAAGTTTGAGAAGAAGTATGAAGTGCTTCGTTTTGAGGATGATTGGGATGCGGTCAAGGTCTCAATTATATACTTTGTTGAGTTTGTACTTTATGGGCGGGAAAGAAGCGTGAAGTACGACAGTAGTCTGCTTGGAATAGTAAATGATTGGGAAGTGTGTTGCAACCATGACTGGGGGCAACTATCATTTGAGAAGACTATGAGGAGTCTGGAGCGAGCTCTTGCGAAGAAGACACCTCAAGGGGCGTTGAGGAAATTGTACAGTCTTTATGGTTTCCCGTGGGTATTCCAGGTAAATAAATATATATGAATTTTTAATTTAATTTGGACATACTAATCGTTACTAATATTATTTGTAATTTGTGCAGGTGTGGGCGTATGAGACAATATCTTCCATGGCGGGACGTGTTGCCAAGAAGATAAGTGATAGTTTGGTACCCCGCATGCTCCGGTGGAGGTGCGGTCACTCGACTGGATGACTCGTGCTGGAGAGGGAGATCTTCCAGTCTACAACAGTAAGTCTGACCCTTTTTTATGACTTTATTTCAAACTGTGTAGTATTGATATCATTTTC